TTACAAATAGCGGTAGAGAGTTAAGTTTCCCTAATATATAAAGAATTTATTAGCGGCTCCCAAAATAAAACAAGAGACAGATAGCAGTATACTTTTAATAATTCTTTAGTTTCTTTTATTATCAATCATGGCCTACTAATAAATATGATCTTTTTATAAAAAATAAACTTAAAAATAAAACTTTTAAATATCGCAGTAAATAGTGAAAATAAATATAGAGTGATATATATTTTTGAGAAGCTTATGGCAAGACAGATCATATGATTTATAAATATACAGGGTGTTCCATTTAAAAAAACATAACTTTAGTTCATATTTTCAAAAATATTTTTTTGGTAGAAAAACAGACTACGCCACTGTATTCTACGTAAACAGTTCTACAATAAACAGTTTTCACCTTCTCGATAGCTTTAACAATAACAGAGATACAGGAGGTGTCCCAAATTGCAAAATTTTCAAAAAAACCCTGTAGCTCGGAAACGAAGAGGGCTATGAAAATTTTGTTTACGGCATCTTCCGTTTGACAAAAACGTGAGACAGGTTTGTGCAAACCGCACCCTTCTATCTTCACTAATAACGGAGATACCGTATGATTTCAACCAAAATGGGACACCCTGTACAAGATAGCTTAATAGCCGTAAAAAACTCATCGAAAGTTTATTAGAATATTATGGATCGGAAACCGGCTGTAAAGACCCTTTTTAAGTGCTATTAAGGAGATATTTTTTAGTGTAAATAATAACTGTTTATAAAGGGTGTCCCAGTTAAGATGGATACAAGCCAATATCTTGATTGTTTGTTAAGCGATCTTTTTCATTTTTGGTAGGAGGCTATATGGCTATAAGACGTACATTTTGCCCAGAGTAAGAAATGCGATACCTCATAGACGTACGTTTTAATGGGGTTTGATATTTTTCGAGTCAAGAGTAAACTACCCTTAGGACAGTATTTATTTCAAATCTGATAAATTATATTGAATCCTCCTTACCCATGATACATAAGTTCTAATTTTGATAAATATTGAGGGTGTGTTATTAAAATAGGACATTTTTATTTTTATTGTTATTTTTTTAAGTACTTACGACGCCACTGGATAAACAACTGGTTTATTATCAATAAGTAATTATAACCAATTATCAATTAATAATCGATTTAAGTTTTTTTGACATACAAAAAAAAACTAAATATTTTCAATTTATTTTGTTTACTTTAAAACATTGTTTTTTAAGTTTGCTAATACAAATGAATAAAATGAGTTACAAAATAATTTAAAAACCCTGTTTTCAATGGAATCTGAAATATGATTTCTATTCGTTTTATTGAGGAATATTTAGAAAAATCCAACTAGTGATTTAAAACAATCACTATTAACTTTTAAAGTTATTTAGTTTATTTCTATCGTATCTTAATTATTATGGAAGCCATCTGAAAACTTAAATCGATTATTAATTGATATTTGTTTATAATAGGTTATTGATAATAAACCAGTTGTTTATCCAGTGGCATCGTAAGTACCTACTTAATAAAATAATAATAAAAATAAAAATGTCTTACTTTAATAACACACCCTGTATCAATATTTATCAAAATTTGAACTTAAGTATCTTGTGTAAGGAGGATTCAATATAATTTATCAGATTTGAAATAAATACTTTTCTAAGGGTAGTTTACTCTTGACTCGAAAAATATCAAACCCCATTAAAACGTACGTCTATGAGGTATCGCATTTCTTACCCTGGGCAAAATGTACGTCTTATAGCCATACAGCCTCCTGCCAAAAATGAAAAAAATCGCTCAATAAACAACCAAGATATTGGCTGGTATCCATCTTAAGTGGGACACCCTGTATATTAATACTTAATTTATTTTTGTTTTCTAAAATATTTTAATAAAAAAAAATATGTAAAAGGCGGCAACGCTGTGCCGGTCAAGCTTAATCACGCGACTAAAATTTTATTTGATATTATATACCGTATGATCGAATAAAAACGGCGTCAACAATGGCAATGAAATGAACATCGATGACATTTCCCATATAAATTTACATATAAAATGACAGCAATCTTCATTTCATAGCCATCGCTGACGCCGTTTTTATTCGATCATACGGTACACATACATTCACAATTTATTTCTTGACGAAGTCCACATTTTGTCAGACTTTCCAAATACTTCTATGGAACCCCTAATTGTAGAACACCCCGTATTTACGGTTTTATGGGGTTATTGATAATTTAAAATCCCAGTAATTTTAGTTAAGTGACGAAGAATGTAAAGTAAAAAATACGTCCAAAGTGTCGAAAACGGTAATGAATAAGAATTGCACGTTCTTTGAGGAAAATTTAAATAGAAAAAAAAGGTCAGCAATCGATATATACCTTCTGATTTATCTGCCAATTCTTTTAAAGGATCATTAATATTCCTGGCGGACACCAGTTCGACGCCTTCGGGCACTCGAAAAGCCACGCCGTGGGTGCTGGCGAAATCCAGCAACTTCCTCTGGAAAAACTTTAGCAACTTCGTCAATTCCGAGTCGGTGGCCAAGTATCGGGGTGCGGCGGGAGTTGGAAACCCTGTTTTCGGTTTAATTTTTACCACTCTCAAACTACTATTCGATGGGCTCTCATAATCGAATTCATGAACTAGTTTTAACAGTCTGTATTTCACGCAAAAGAACGGCTTTTTCGTGATGTAGCACTGTTTTTGCACGTTTCTCACGTAATCATCCGAATTCGCTATAGATCCCGATACAGAAACTAACACTAACAAACTTAAAACACACTTTAAGAGGAGCAAATTCATTTTTTCTGGACACTACAAGCCACGAAACATAACATAAATGTCGGGTAAAGCAATTTTCGCTGATATTTATCGATAAAAAGTGTCATAGTAGGTTGATAGAAACCAAAATTTCTATAAAATTTTAATTAAAGTTGATTATCTAAGGAAATATATGATATAGTAAATTTTTACTGTTATCCATGACTGGCCTGATTTCTTTAAGCATAAATTGGATTAAAAAGTAATTAGGTTTATTTGCAATTATTTTGAAGAGTGAACTTTATGAATCTAATAAGTGCAATAATTTTCATGCTATTAATTAATTTCATTTAGAAATTAAAATAGTTAAGTGTAAAATAGATATGTTTGTTACTATAATATGAATATTTTCTTTATATCCCTAATGTACCAATGTACAGAGTGCAGAATGTCAGTATACAAGGTGTCCCAGGCTGAGCGTGCATCTAGGAGTTACAAGATCTAAATCGGAAGTACCTACAAGATCTAAATCGGAAATTTTTTGCACATTATTATTTCACACTCTCGATTAAAAATGTTTTCAACATGGCGGCACTTCCGGAAATACCGAAAGTTGACAGGTGCGTCTCAAAAGTGGCCCACCCTTATAACTTTTTTATTTTTTTAGATAAATAAACGAAATTTGGTATGTTATTATATGACATAAATTAGGATTGATTGGTGTATTCAATTGTTTTCGGTCACTTCCTGTTTCACCGGAAATGACTACAACTTTTGATTTTTAAATGGCACCCTCGGTATTTTTTACATCATTCGATGGAAAATGACTTTCTGAATAGAATGTCATATCATATGTCAACTTTTGACATTCTCGCTTAATAAAAAATTGTATTTTAAAATTCAATCTAGAGTGCCATGGCTATGTTAAAAAACACTAATTCTCCACAAGGAGCCTTAGAAAAATAGATTTGATCGTCTAATGTTATTAGAGTCCTAGTCCTTCCTTGTCCTGGCCAGTTAGAAAATGCTTAAATCGTGTTTTCAATCATATCTCAATTTTTTCAAATGGAACGAGGGTGGCTCATTAGCATATTTGAAAAAAGCATTTTTTTACGAATAATTTGATACCACACATTTGGTATTTCAAGTCAAATTTTCGTTACGAACCGCAAGTTATAATTTCAAATAAACCATGTGCGAAAATGTCAAAAGTTGACATATGATATGTCATTCCATTCAGAGTGACATTCTCTATCGAATAAAGTAAAAAAATACCGGGGGTGTCATTTAAAAATCAAAAGCTGTAGTCATTTCCGGTGAAACCGGAAGTGGCCGAAAACAATTGAATACGTCAATCAATCCTAATTTATGTCACATACTAACATATCAAATCTTGTGTTTTTAACTAAAAAAAGAAAAAAATTATAGGGGTGAGCCACTTTTGAGACGCACCCGGTATAGGGTCACAAAAAATAGTAGTAAAAAAATAAAAATGTACGTTTTTTTTGAAAAAAAGTTTTCAGAATTTTTAAACTTTAAAAGTGGCATTTTCAGAATAATTAATCAAATAGCGTCATTTTTTCTCCATATAGTATTTCTCCCTACAACCTCGTATCTCTTCTAATTTCCGAGGTCGTAATCATGACTCGAATTTTGAACACACTGTACAGTAAAATGGACACTATGATAAAACAACTTTATTTTAATTAATTTCCAAAATTAATTAAACAGTTATATTAAATCTTAAAATTTATTAAATCTACTAATGTAATAATTTCATATTTCTTTCTAATATTTTGGGTATATATGTATATATTTTTTGACAAAAGATTACCATTGCTCTCTAATTCCTTATAGCTTATTATTCTCTCTTTTGATTACAATTAATAATAAAAATTAATAATATAATTATTATAATCAATGTGTTAGATAATTTCGCAGTATAATAGTTACGTTTATCATCAGTTATTTCAGTTATTCATTGTAAATGACAAATTGATACAAGTACAGACTAAGTATGTCATACAAATTGTAAGATATTAATTTTGAGGTTGTGCCTATGAATGTATTTTTTAACCGATTTTTGTGTCAAGAAAACTTATATTTATTGATAATATGGTGAAGGTATACTCATTTCATTCTTGGCGAATGCGTTAGACTATTGTAAAACTGGTTGCTTGTACTGAAACTTCATGCTATCTAAGATTTGCTAAGGAAATTTGACACCGACTGACACATGACACATGACACTGACAGTGATCGACATGACGGTAGTTGTTTTTCCTTGAATTTTGTTTTCAGTCTATTTTCTTCAAAATATTCTTAAAAATCATCATAAAAAACATAGCCATATGGATAATTTGTGATACTAAGCAGTAGGCACGGTGTTTTTGTTTTACTTAGGAGTGGTTTTAGCTAGGAACAATTACAAAATGAGCAATCATTACAATAATAGGGGCAGGGCTGGCGAAACTGAACAAATGGCCCAACCCCAGTGCCTGAAGGTTTTTATACCAAGGGATTACAGTGAAGGGACAGTGGTCAAGTTTAAAAATAGTTTTCCACCAGAGCTAGAAGGACGGGTAAGTATTTTAAATACATATTTCTTCAGTATCCATTAATGCTTACTAATTAGATTACTTTAAGTTTGTGTCATTGTTAACAGTGGATTTATTGTTATTTGCAGTTAGAGAAACAAGCCTTTGAATCAACAATAAACAGACTGAACGCTTATTTTGCTGAAGCTGAAAAGGCAACTTGTTCTACTTATTGTGAAGGTTGTCTAGCATGTCTCACAGCTTATCTTGTATACCTCTGTAGAGAAACTCATTACGACAAGGTAAAGGGTTACATTTTACCATGTTTTTCTATTTAAGTGCTCTATGAAACTGTTTTTTAGTGCTTGAAAAAAGTATCCAAGTTCATTGCCGAGCAAAATGAAAGAATATACGAACCGAGAGGTTTAAAATTGACTGATCCCAGTTTAAGAGGGCTGAGAGTTTTAGAGATTAGCTGTCTGGACCGACCTCCTAACGCATGACTTACACTTTCACACTCTACTCAAGAGTTTTTCATGTGAATTGAAGAAAGAAAACAACAAATAGTGTTCATTTATTTTTTGGAAGCAACAATAACATGTTGTGTGTGGACTAGCAGAAATTAGGCTGTGAGGAGATAATTCTTATTATTTTTTAATATCACACTCGAGATTTCTGTAAAACAACAGGAAAATGATGGTTTTTATACAGCATTTTTTGCCAGTTTGTTCAGATCTACTTTTTACTATATAGTTACTATTTCTTTTTGTTATAACATGCACTGTTTAAATTTTAAAGTCCTATATTTTTAAGCATAATTTAACTTTAGTTTTAAGTAACTAGCATATATTTTGGTTAATTAGTGTTTATTTTAATATAAGCAAGATCTATAAGGTGTATAATTGTTGTTAATTGAAACTAATTTAATATTAACTTTAAGTCCTTTTATATATTTGCATTAATGTCTTCCTAAATTGTAATTTAAATATATTGAGTATGTGCTTACCTAATTTTGGTTTAGATAAATGATTTATATTTGAGGTTGAAATTCCTGGTGTAATATATAGTGAGACTTAATACATTAAATGTGTGTAATTTACAGTGTTGTTTTACTATTTTTATGATACATTAATAATTAAAAAAGTTGTTTATTCATATTAAAAAACAAACTTAATTCAGTACACCTTTGTCATGAATATATTTTAATTTGTTTAAAAAAAACATCAATGTTAAATAATCATGCTAAAATATCTATTTTTATATCCATTTATCTAAATGTCAGAGTATCAAAAAGTAGTTTATTCTGAAATTTAGTTAATTGCAATAATTATTCTTTAATGAACTGAGAAATTTTGAATTGGTTACTATGTTATTGACAAAATGGTGAAGGTTCCTATCTCAAAATTTTAGAAATTAAAATATAAGTTATATATGGCAATCGCTTGTTTGATTTTAAAGAACATAACATACTTAAAATTTAAAAATAATCATACAGAAAGTTTGGAGCTTTTTGGTTTTACCTTATTAAGTAATTGTTATCAGGTAGTAATTGTTAATTTTGAAATTTTACTTAATATAATGTCATTTTAACAGAACGTCAACGTTTTCTTGTAGACGAATCTGTTTTAAAAAAGTAAAGTGATGGTAAAGTGTTCTCGAATAGTTGAATTTAAATATTTTAAATAGTTTTTTTCTTTATTCTTTGTATTTTTTTTTGCTTCCGACGACGGAAAGAGATAAACTTTCCGAAACGTTAAGCATTTTTTTTTTGTTAGGCAAATTTGTATAACTGTAAACATAACTTCTGACAAGCAGTGTCGGTTTAGGTTTAACGCCCAGAAGTGTTTACAAAAAATAACTATTTTATTTTGTAGATTTTCTTGCAGTGCAGTGGCGAAATACCCATAAAGGATTTTTTTAGAGAAAATATAAATTATTTAAGGTCTAAAATGCTTACCAGGAAAAGTATGTGAAATTAGGGCAATAAAACAAAAAAACTTTTTTTTAAGTTTATTTACAATAAAAAAATATTAACTCTTTCTACTTCATGTTAAAACAAAACAAAAAATTAACAAAACGTTTAGTGGTAAAATTTAAATAATTAAACTACATCTTTAATATGGGACCAACCAATTGTCTTTCTCTGTACCTATGAGTATTAAAGTTAATTTATTTAATATTCTTTAACTAGGTTTTTTTTTGTTGGTTGATCCTTGCCCTCAAATAAAATACATCAATTATCTAGGTTTTTATACCACATAAACCTACATACACTATTTTTCTATGGAATGTAAAATTCAAGTACATGAATAGAATTATCCCATTCAAACAATTGTATTGCTTTAGTTTTGATTATTTATTTTTGATGGTGTCTTCTACAATTAACACAAATATAAATATTTTATTTAAGTATTTTTCTATTACTTTTTTAGTTGCAGTGTTAAGTACTTTGTTATTTTTCATTTTTAACAAGCACATTATTTTGGTAGTATAGTAGGAAATATTAGTAACAGCAAATAATTCTATATAAATTTTGGTGTGTTCTAAAAAGAATTAGAAGTAAAATATAAAAAAACCAGTTATACCTACTAAAAATAAAATACAATAGAGTTTTTCTACAATATTTTTATACAAGACTAGAAAAACGTGATCTAAATACATAGAAAATGTCTTTTAATTCTCACTATTGAATAAGAAGTTTTGTTTGTCATTTTTATTTTTCTTTGCTTTAGAGAAATTTGTTAATTCGAAGATCATATAAAATTTTTAGACTCGAATGGACTGATTTAGAAAATGGGTATATAAAAATTGACTAGTTCTTTGACATTTATAAGTAACAGATGAATCTAATTGATTACCTAATGTTGGTAGATAAAAATTTTAGTAAATTACTAATTTGGCCATTGAATCCATAAATCACTACGAATTTCAAAAGTTCTTATACAGTGTGTTTAAGATATTTCAACACATATATTATGTGTTATTATAATGATGAATATTTTACATTTTGAAAATTTCCTTTATACAAAACACATATACAAGGTGTCCAAATTTCCGTGGACATAGAACTACTATACCGGGTGTTGCATCGTCGAGCGGGACAGGAAATTCCATGTAAATTTTAATAGGGTCAATTATTGGCTTCCCTAATTATTTTAGAGAATAATTCTATTTAGGTTTATTGAAGAGCACTAAAACCCACATTCAAAAGAATAACTTTAGATATTTTTGATTAGCCCGTTTACGAGTTATCGCCGATTTCTTTTTAAATATTTCTCCTTTCTTATGGTCCTGTATTTACTTATGAGCACCAGTCAAGGTAAAAGATAACTGTCAAATGAAGTTGTCATTTCAGAAATTTATCTATTTAGTGCTTTATTATTATTATTAAAAACTCATACCTACATCGAAAATATTAGCCATGAATTACACTACCGAAGAAAAAGTATTGATGATTAAATGGTATTATCAAGGAAATAGTTATCAAAAGGTGTCGGACATGTTTGCTGCTCTGTATCCGAATAGACCGATACCTGGAAAATCTACAATCGCAAGGAATATCCAGAGATTTGAGACCAAAGGTACCCTAATAAATAACTGCAGATGTGAAGCAAGGCAGGAACAAAGAGAAGATGCAAGAAATGATACCGACTTGGAAGTTTTATTGTGCGTGGAAGAGAACGATGGAAAGATCAGCACAAGGAAACTTGAGGATGAAATAGGAATAGATCACACTACAGCGTTTCGAATTTTGAAACGACATAAATACTATTCCTTCAAATATGAAAAGCACCAAGAGCTACGAGATGGGGACGAAATACGGCGGCAGGCGTTTTGTTTTGATATGATGGAAAGAGCAAACACGGATAGGGAATTTTTAAAAAACATATGTTTCACTGACGAATGCACGTTTACCTTAAATAATGAACCCAATGTTCAAAATTATCGATATTGGAACAAAGAAAACCAACACAGGTTTGTCGAAACAAGGACGCAATATCCACAGAAAGTAAATGTTTGGGCAGGGATATTCGGACACAATATTATCGGGCCATTATTTCTTACGCGAAATTTAATGCAGAATATTATTTGGAACTACTGAAAATCATATTTTACCTGCTTTACATGATGCCGCTAGGGAAAATCAGGAAGTTTGGTACCAAATGGATGGCTGCCCGGCACATAGTACCCTGGCTGTTCGGGAATATTTAGACAATAGTTTTAACGGAAATGTTATTGGCCTAAATCATACAGTAAATTGGCCAGCAAGGTCTCCTGATATTTTGCCAAATGATTTCTTTCTCTGGGGCCATTTAAAAAACAGTATATACAAGGATAAAAAATACCCAAATCTAGAGGAGTTAAAAAATGCTATTTCTGCCGAATGCAATAGAATTTTAGTTTACCAACTAGCGAATGTAAGAAGATAATTTTATGATCGCCTGGGTTAATGTCTAGCAGTCGATGGAGGAATATTTGAACATCTTCTTAAATCCTAAAGTTCTAACAATTTAATAGTGCCTAAATTAATAAGTTATTGAATATTGTAATAATACTATAATTAACCTTGTAATTGATTACTTTATTTCACTTTAATTCATATTAATATTTATTTATAAATACATCTTTAAGATTTCCGATCTAGGAATGAGTTTTCAATAATAATAAAGCACCAAATAGGTAAATTTCTGAAATGACAACTTCATTTGACAGTTTTCTTTTACCTTGACTGGTGCTCATAAGTAAATACAGGGCCATAAGAAAGGAGAAATATTTAAAAAGAAATCGGCGATAACTTGTAAACGAGCTAATCAAAAATATCGAATGTTATTCTTTTGAATGGGGGTTTTAGTGCTCTTCAATAAACCTAAATAGAATTATTCTCTAAAATAATTAGGGAAGCCAATAATTGACCCCCTTGGAATTTACATGGGACTTCCTATGTCCCGTCCGACGATGCAACACCCGGTATGTATGTTTTTGAATAAAAATAAGTTCATCGGGACACAATTTACCTTTATACAAAAGTGCTTCGTTTGTCCGCTAGAGGGCATCAAACATTAAAAATTAAATCCTTTTTTAAGATATTTTAAAAACCAATATTCCGATTTGACAGAGATATTTGGAATGCCAATGTTTTGCAAAACACTTTAACATTTTACTTTCGCAAAAATGAAGAAAAAGTACGGGAAAGGCGAACTACCACCACCTTTTTAACGCTTCTTAAAATATTTTAAGAAATGTGTTAATTTTTCTGACAAACAAAGCACTTTTGTGAAGTAGTAAATTGTATCTAATGAACTTATTCGCCTCTAGAAATACGTAACAGTTCTATATCCACGGAATATTGGGACACCCAGTATACTGCATAATACTTCATTTGTCACTAAGTTAGTTGATGTTGGCTGGAATTTTCTCTCCAGTTCTTCTAAATACATTGAACACACTGTACGTACATATAGTATAGTTTGTTTTAGAACTATACACAATTTAGTTTCTTTGGTGGTGGTTTATTTATGGATAAAAATGCTATGTCGAAATCTTATTGCGATATTATGAACAATAAAAAAATATTATATTTATATATAACAATGAGTAACACGAAAATCTTGTTTTGGCCAAAATTTCGAATTCCAAAAAAATTATATGGTTCTATTTGGCTTATAAAGGTTCCATATGGCATAAAGAGCCAACTGAAACCATATATGCTTTTTATGGCTCATAGAACTTATTGCTATACTTATTGTAACAAGAAAAACGCCAAAATTTCGAGACATAGCACCGTTTGCCATAAATCAACCGAGTTCTTAAACTCTTCTCTTTACAATAACACTGTCTAGATTTGGACGAAGCAGTGCTGATTACTATTAAACTAGTTTAACAGTCAGTTAATAGTCACAACATGCAGCACAGTTTTTTGTGTCTTTTCTTAAGTTCTACGGGAGCTGCTGATGATACTGTGTGGAGAGTCTGGACTGTCAGTTCAATATCTTTGGTTTCTTCAGATTCTAAAAAGAAAGATCACATTTCATGGTTATATAGTGGTTAGATAATATCTAAATAAAAAAATAAATGGATTAGATTTGGAACTCTGATATCTTCCGCAATTGACAACTTACGTCATGTACCTGCCTAGCTTACACAAAAGTCAACCTCACCTTCACGTGACGTCCGAGTATAAGAGGTATAACCTTATATACCAAGACCTTCCACCTTTCTGGGGAAGGGGAGTAGTAAACTATACCTAGCCGGCCGAGAACGTAGCAGGGAACTATCGTCGCGGTCTTCACTGTGCCATGCCATCCCGTGCTACAGTTGCAGCTAAAACTGTGCGGCAGCGTAACCGCCACAGTTAAAGCTTTTCACGCAGCTTAGAATTTAGAATAAGTGGGAGGGGGGTTAATCTCTGCGACCTTAGGGATCTATTGTGTCCCCCTTTCTTGAGTTATAACTCATCATACAGTCCCAGGACTTCCTACGGAGATCCGTGTCCCTCACAGACGAAACGGTAGCTTGTGTCGCCTTTTGGGTTTAGAGGTAGGAGGTAGGCTCCCAACCATTGGAGGAGGTGGTAACTTGTATGCCACTTGCGGAGGATGGTCTCACGCAAGTGTCAGCCACCTCTCCTGTAGTTCTCTTTGGGTTTGGCCCCTTGGAACTTTCATTGTTACTGTTCCCAGTGTTGCTAGGTGGTTTCCCCACAGCTTCACCGGTGATGTTTTTATTACTATTATTACCAGATCTCATAGTGTTCCTATGAGTCGCTAAGGACAGTCGGTCCACTTCTACAGAGCCCCGCATATAGAAGTAAGGGGTAAAATACAATGGGGTGCCTCCCGGTGCCCCAAGGTTGAGGCTGTCCGTAGCCCCGCCCGGTATCGTTATATGTCTTGGTGCAATTCCCTGGCCACTACACTACAGTCAGGGACAAGACGATGAGTGAGATGCTTCTTAGACCGAGCCAGTGCTAGGGGTGATTCCCCCCAGCACCTGGCCAGGAGCTTCCCCACCAACGACAAGGTCTTGCATCTCCTAGGGGAAGTTTCACGCAGCTTACACACATCAATAGTGGAACATTCGAGTGGGACAAAATCATCGTCCGGAGGTAAAATACCCCCTCAATCGGATCTCCGGGAGGGGGTGCCTACTCGAGCGTATCATGGTTAAAATATAGATATTGCCGCTCTTAGAGAAACCCGCTTTGCGGATGAAGGTAGTCTCACTGAGGAGCATTACAGCTTCTTTTGGAAGGGTCACCCCGCAACACACAGGAGAATTCATGGCGTAGGCTTTGCGATCAAAAACGAAATCGTCACCAAATTAACAGAAGTACCTATTGGTGTCTCCGAACGTCTTATGACCCTAAGGTACCCCATATCAGACAAAACTTACGTCAACATCATTAGTGCCTACGCTCCCACTCTAGACGCTAAAATTGAGGATAAGGATAAATTTTACCAAGCTCTACAAAATGCTCACCAACGAATTTCAAAGCACGAACGAATCATTTTGCTATGTGACTTTAATGCTCGTGTCGGTAAACAACAGGAAATATGGCCTGACGTATTGGGAAAACATGGAATACGAAACGTATAAATAGCAATGGTGAACGCTAATTAACAACATGCACAGAGTATAATCTATGCATCACCAATATATGTGGTTCATGTTGAAGGACAAGTTTAAAGGTATCTGGAAACATCCCAGATCAGGTCACTGGCATTAATTGGACCACGTAATCGTTCGAAGGACGCATCTAAAAGATGTCAGACTCACAAAAGCCAGAATAGATGCCAAATGCGGCACTCACCATCGACTTTAAATTTCAAAAATGAAAATCCAGTTAAAACCCAAACATCCACAATGTAAAACGCAAAACAACATGACCAGATTGAACGTACGGGGTCTAGAGACCAAGAATACCGCCGACACCCCCCCCCCCTCCGGGTTATGCCAACAAAAAATCACTTCCAACGATAACTTCAATCTCAATCTTGAAAGCTGAACAAGGCTGGACACAATTAAGGAATGCGATTCATAAAATTAGCAAAGCAGTACTGAGAAAGTCCAACAAAAAGAAACAACCAGACTGGTTTAACGAAAATCAACCTCATATACAGTCCTTGTTGGATCAAAAGCATAGAACATCAAGCAGTCACTGCAAATCCACACAATCCAAGGCTGGTGGGCAACTTTAAAGCAGCCAACAACACGCTTCGAAGAAATCTGCGTCAGTTAAAGGATAACTGGTGGTCAGAAAAGGCTAATCAGATTCAAGAGGACGCGGCGCCACGCATCACGATTATCGTAAATTCTTCGAGGCTGTAAAAGAAGTATGACCCAACCAAGAAGGTAGGCTAATCTAGCTAGGAAAGGAGCGAACACCAGCGAGTGGTAACCAACTCAAGGCGGAACTCAAGAACTTGGAAGATTCCATCCGCAACCTGGAATGGAAATCTTGCAATGGTCTAAGACACTCGAAGAAGTTTCTGAGGGCTTATGATCAAGAAAAATCACAGATCTTCCTGGGTCTGAGTAAGAACAATCTTCGGATTGTCACGGGGTTTTTAACAGGACACTGTTTCCTCAATGAACACCTCAGTAGATTGAAACTAAGAAGAAACGGCGAATGCAGATTCTGTGGGGAAGATGGGGAAACACCAGTACACATCATCACTGAGTGCGCCGAGACGACAACCATTCGTGCCATGAATTTTGGTACGACTGATATTGGAGATGGAGAACTACCCTCTATAAAACCGTCCCAGATACTGGCTTTTGTCAAAACCCTGGGACTGTATGATGAGTTATGATTCAAGAAAGGGGGACACAATGGATCTGTAAGGTCGAAGTGATTAACCCCCCTCCCACTCATTCTAAATTCTAAAATTCTAAAAATTCTAAGAAGGTAGGCTGTCCAATCATGGCACAAAATGGCGAACTTCTAAAAGAGGAAGAGCAAATTAGAAACCGCTGGAAATAGCATTACAGCCATATCCTTAACCAAGAAAACAACCCCCATATGGAACAGAACAGGAAATAATGGCCTCCATAAAACAGCAAATCAGCTGGCTGTGACGCGATTCCGGCGGAAATCTATAAGTGTGCAAGTAAAGAACTTATTGCTCATCTTAAGGCTCTCTTTGATGTCATATGGAAAAGCTGAGAGGTACATCAGGACTTTTGCAACGCAAATATATTTAAGAACAAAGGAAGTGCATCAGACTGCGGAAATTACCGGGGAATTTCACTATTGGCTATCGGAGGAAAAATTCTTGCAAAAATTATGTCAAACCGCCTGCACCCACATATAGAAAAAATCCTTGCAGCATCGCAAACGGATTTTCGCACCAACTATGGCACCGTCGATTCCATATTTTCTATTCGCCAACTACAGGAAAAAGTAAAAGAGCAGCAGTCTAAACTTTATGTTGCATTCATCGACTTAACAAAAGCCTTCGACTCTGTGAACAGGGATGCACTTTGAGCAATTATGAAAAATTTCGGAGTACCCACCAAATTTCTTACAGTGTGTAAAAGTCTCTATAACAACAAGTTAAGAGTTGGATCACTCAGCGATTCCTTCCTAACAAATGCAGGGATGTGTCTTAGCGCCTCTCCTATTCAACATATTCATGACAGCGCTCTCCATTATAGTAGACAGTAAACTACAGGAGAGAGGATTGGGCATTAGATACAGATTCAACGGTGGTCTGTTCAACATAAAAAGACTCACATTACTTTAATTTGACCGCGAATAACTTTTAAAGGAATTTTTTTATGGAAAAATCGGAGAGACCTTTTTTGTAGAGCGTAAAGTTTTGTATAATATGTCTCTATCGAAGCTGTAGGTTCATCTGCTTTAGAGATAAAAAAATTAATGCAAAAGGTCAGAAAATCCCATGTTATTTAAATGGGAAAAGTATCATGATTCCGGCACGGTTTACATTAAAAATTAAGAGCTTGCTTGTTTACGTTGGATAATTTTTATAGAGCAAAGACTGCTGATTTCAGAGGGCGGCAGTAAAGAAAAAATCAACTTGGGAAATACCGGACACCCTAATGTTCATAGTGAAAATAAAAACACGGTATATTTCCTATATAAAAAATGTTTTGTATTATTTTATCATTGTATGAAGAAATAGGTTTACCAGTAAAAGCTTCCACCGGCTTATCTATCGTGTCGTGGTCTATCCACGTGAGACCCATTTCCACTTTTTCGGCCAGATCCTGCCAGTGCCTCCGATTCTCCAGGGTCCCTTGATACAAGGGCTTCACCCAGGGGAACGTATCCGCCAGGACTCGGTACAGGGGCAGACATATAATGTCGATAAATTCTACTTGCATCTGGGGAAGTTCGTCTTTTTTCTCTCTATCCATCATGGCCTAGGGGATATCGAAAAATAAAGGTATAAAATACAGAGTGAGTCTTAAATAAGTGCAAATATTTTTAGGGGTAGTGTATTTCGACCCCAGAACCACACTGAAAAAAATATAAGTAGATAATTTTACAAAAAAAAATATTGATATATTCTAGTTAAAAATAAGATATTTTTATTAGTATTTTAATAAAGCAGGCCTTTAGATGTTTCAAAAAACTTTTAATAAGAGTAACTTTAACTCTACATATATGTTTCGGCTTGTTAGGCCTTTTTCAAGAGTTTTTTAAGAACTAATCGTCTAACTACACTGTAACTATATATATATTTGCTATGGGGGTGGGTTCAGAGAGTTTACAATAGGGGTAATAAAAAATGTGTTTAGAAATCCTTGTTGGTCGTTAACATTATTTTCGTTTTTAACAGATTTTAGTATTTCTAACTGTTCAATGTAATTTAAGCGTCTACCTTTTGTTTCTCTGTGTAGTGACTTAATTGAATTTTCATTAATTTTGTGATTATTTACTATACAATGAGTTGCAAGACCAGAACTATGCTGGAGATTATTAATAGACTTTACATGTTCTTTAATCCTTATATCTAAATTTCTACCTGTTTGGCCTATGTACACGGTATCACAATCATTGCAATCCACCCTATATACACCCGACTTATTTTTGACATTAGTTTTGTCTTTATTATTTAATAAAATTTACTCGATTAATTACTCACTAATTAAAACGTTAATAGTTTTACATCCTATTTTATTGAGATTATTTGATATTTTGTTAGTTAAATTAGGAATGTAGTTTAAAAGTCGATAATTGTTATTGTCTTTAGCATTAGCGGAATAAAAATTTTTCATTAATATTTTCTTTTGTTTTTTCTTTAGCATATTATCAATAAGGGAACACTTATATCCATTGTTGATGGCGATTTGTTTAATAATATTTAAGTCTTTTTTAAAATTCTCTGGGCTCAGTGGAAACATTACTAATCTATGAATTAAACTATGAAAGGGTGACATTTTGATTTGCCAGGATTGGTGTGATTGACTATGTATTACAGTGTCTGTGGTAGTGGGTTTTCTGTAAATATCAAATTGTAATCTATTAGACTGTTTTATAATTGTAACATCAAGAAAATTGATGGTATTAATACCTTTTTCAATAGTAAATTGTATTCTCGGGTTAATTGAATTTAATAATGTTAAAAAACTGTTTAAATTTCTCTCGGTGCCTGACCAAATACAAAAAATGTCATCTACATATCTTGCCCAATAATTTATTTTTGATATTAAACTACTCTTGTTTTTAAATAGCTTCTTTTCAAAATCTGCCATAAATATTTCTGCGAATAACGGTGAAATTGGGGAACCCATCGGTAACCCATCTTTCTGTTTAAATATTTCATTGTTATACTGAAAATAGTTTTGTTCTAAACAAGTTTCAATTATTGTTATTAAATCTGATTTTACTATTATATTAAGATTAGATTTATCAATTAGTTCATAAATAATAGAGGACAATTCATGGGTTGGGATAGAAGTGAACAGGCTTTTGACATCGAAAGAAACGAGTGTTGCATTATGTGGAACTTCAATATTTTTCAAATTATCTAGCAACTCAAAAGAATTCTTTATGGCAAATTTTGATTGAAAATTGATCATGGAAGGAAGTGTTTTAGCTAGTATTTGACATAATTTATAAGAGGGAGCATTTATGTACGAGACGACTGGTCTAACTGGATTATTGTCTTTATGTAATTTTAGTAAACCATAGAGTAATGGGGGTGAAGGATTCATTATTTTGGCATAGTATTCATTGTTATTAGGTAATATAGATTTGTTATTTTTTAAAATAGAAAGAATTTGTTTTTGAAAATTACATGTTGGATCAGAAATTTTAGTAAAATCTCCACTATTTAAAATATCAGCTATTTTCTTATCATATTCTGTTTTTGTAAGAATTGTTATAGTGTTGCCCTTATCGGCTTTTGTAATTATTAAATTGTTATCATTTATTTTCTTGGTTATAGACTGTATGATATTTTTCTCTTTACTGTTAGTTTTTAAATATTTGTTACAATTATTGAAATTTTCTAGTATGCGATATTTATTACATGTTGAGGCATGAGGTAAAGTCCCAACTGCGATTTCGGTGTTAACTGCTAGCAATTCTATGTCTTTTTTGTTAAAAACAGCTGGGGAATATTTTAATCCTTTTTCCAATATTGAAATTTCATCATTTGAAAAAGTAATATTTGATAAATTAATAAGTGTAGGGTGAAATGCAAAAAGACTGTTATTTTGTGTACTTACCACCTTGTTAACATTGTCACAATTGTTGGATTTAATAAGTTTATTAAGTTTCTTTAATTGTGTGTTATAATGTAAACTAACTAAGTCACTAATTTCTTCTCTTATGAGTCTGTCTCTGTATTGAAAAACAAAATGACCTTCTTTTTCTAACAACTCCGTGTAGCATAGCTTCTTATGTAGGTTGATGTTGTCTCTTCTTTTGTACCAGAATTTTTAATTTCATTTTGTAGCCATATAGTGTACGCTTTTTTCACTGATTCCTGTGCTTCACGAGATTTGTGGTTGCACACAATTTTCATGTGCTGTGGTGTCACCTTATTTTTCAGGCACTGTTTAATAAACCATATGTGGTTCGAACATTTCTTAGACCGTAGTAGACATCGTTTGTAGAAAACCACTAAAGATGCGACGCCCGCATTTTTAATAAATTGTAGAATTAGATAAATTATTAAGATATTTTTACATAGTTTTACAAAAAAATGTAATTTTACAAAACATTTTATTAATATTAAATGATTATTACAAAGTTTAAAATTAAATTTTAATCAGAAATAGAATCTTGTAGTGAAATTGCATGTGTCTAGACATATTCACAAAACTTGTGTAAATCTACCATAATACAGACAACCAAACTTATATGGAATCACTCTTTATTTCTGACTAAATTTTTTGCAAGTATAAAAATTGGTATACAACTTTAAGATAAGGCTTTTTGTTGTAAATAAACATGATAATAAGGAATAAACGACTGCCGGGATTTATTTTCTTTTAAATTTTGTGTTCAGTAGTAAAATCACGATTGTCCGGTAATTTTCATTCGATCCAAAAAATAAAAAAATTGCCTTATGTTGGATTAACAGATGTACAGAGGGGAAGAATTATTGCTCTCACCGAACAAGGAATACCAAAGAGACGCAGCAGAGATAGTAGGCGTTACCCAGGGTGTTGTATCGAAAACATATGCAAGGTACTTGGAATTAGGAACACACAAGTATAGGCCCAGATTAAGTCGTCAAAGAGTCACAACTGAACAACAAGACCGCCTTGTGTGCAAAATTGCTAGAATAAATCCCAATGTTTCTCATCCAGAGCTACAAAGACAACTTCTGGCAGCTACAGGTGTGAACATTTCAGTTGAAACCATAAGAAAAAGGCTTCCTGCTCAAAGGTTTTACAGTAGAAGAGAGTTACGGATCCCACAGTTATCTGGCAAAATAAAATTAACCGGCTCAATTGATGCCTTCAATATCCAAACTGGACAACTGAGAACTGACAAAATGTTCTTTTTTCGGATGAGACCAGAATTGGCCTAAGATCAGATAACCATCGAATTCGGGTTCTCAGCTGGACTTCAGGCTGCCAAATCTGTACCAAAATATAAAAGAGGAACCTGTAATGTTCTGGGGAGGTATTATACTGGGAGCAAAAACTCCATTGTTATCACTTCAACAAATTTTAACGGGTTGGGGATATGTTGATTTGATGCTCGAACCAATCGTTAGTCTTTGGAGAGCTGCAATTCGGGATAATTTTAACTTCTTGTACGATAGTGCACCTTCCCATACCAGCAGAGTGACTAGAGAATGTCTTGAAACGGTAGGTGTGTTAGTTTTGGACTGGCCTGCAGGTTTGCAAAATCTAGACCCTATCGAACACTTGTGGGGCTAGCTTAAAAGAAGGGTTAGAGCTCGTCGAAACAATCCAGGAAATCTTGCACAGCTTATTGATGCAGCATTAGCAGAATGGGAAAACATGCCCCAAGACAACATTGATAATTTAATAAGAAGCGTGCCAGCGCGGATAGAAGCTTGCATATGGGCTAGAGGACAACAAGGAATATTAAAATTATCAATTTTCTTTTTGTTTTTGCTTTTTGACCATTAAAAATTTAAATATTAATTTCGTTTTAGAAAACAAAAAAAAAATACCATTTTGTTTATTTTGGGAACTGATTTTTTTTTTATTGCTATATGGATTATTTTTCATTAAAAGTAATTGGTAAAGACTGAGTTTTATTCATAAACACAACATTTTCATACGTCTCAAAAATTCTGAAAAATAATAAATGATTTCATATAAGTTTGATTGTGATATATTTAGTAAGAAGTGACGCCACGAAGCTAATGCGCATTAAGTATTCGATTGAAAATGTAGTTAGGAGCAAAGACCAGAGTAGGGAAAGACAAAGAACAGTTCAGGAGAAAGTCTCAGAGCGTGAGTGATTAGTGTTTTTATAATTTAAGGGTAAGTATATTATATTAATTGTTTTTTTTCTGTAAATATGCAGCTCTCTTAGAAAACACAATCTCCATTTATTAAAATTATTTGCATTTTAATTTTAGTTTTAATTTGTATCTGTTCTGTGGTTTTACTGTGATTCGGGGGACAAATTTAATAGAGGACCAGAGTAGAGTTATCTCTATACATCCATAATTCCACTTTTCACTGTTCTTTTCTTCGTTCACTATTTTGATTAGCTACCTTTTCCTTGCATGATTTTTTTTATTTTGTATATAATGGCAATTTTGTTCCTATTTTGGTTAGGCTCAGAATTCCAGTAAGGTTCTTCTAGACAAGAAGAAATAGCAACGAGTATCTTACATACATAAGTTCTGTTTTGTGACTTTTTATTAACCTTTATAATAAATATTATAATTATAAACACGTGTTTTATTAAATTTATTTATATTTACTAACGCTTTGTGAATTTACAAACGTAATTGTAAATTCGCCTTGTGAATTTACAAAAGTAATTATGGTAAATTCACTATAATAAAATGTTTAAATTTGTTGTTACTCTATAGTAAAAGTACAAGAAGTTGGTGATTTTAAAAGATAAATTTACAATGAATAAGTGAATTTACTATGAGATACACATTTTTTAGATAAATTCACAAAGACAAACGAGTTGCAAAACTAAAGAACGTATGGCAAATTTACTACAATAATATAGCAAGAAATAACCATCAATGTTGTTATTAAATTCACAAATTATTTTTTTCAGTGCAGAAATATATTTTTTTAGCGAAAAAAATTTTTGGGGATATTTCGGGAAATTTGAAATTTTTTGAAAAATTTTTAGAAATGTATTTAGTTTTTAATTAAAAGCTTTAAAGCTTTAAGCTTTAAGCAGAATCATTCAGAATCTAATTTATTCTATTAATTCTTATTTGCGTTTTTATTTTTTTCTTAATTGCGTTCCTATTAATTTTAATTGCGTTTTTTAAATATTGGGAATTATCGCAAACTAAATTATAAAGTGTAATTGAAACCACTAATTTATTCCACTAATTACGAGGTTCTGAATGAAGCTTTACACTTTATACTTTTTAGTTTACGTTACGATCATTAACAATGTGTAAAACCACAATTAAAATTAATAGAATATCCTAGCAACAGCTTGCGGTAGTCAATTCTGTCCATAGAGAAAGCCTAATTAGTAGCATAGTTTAAGGAAAAGAGTAGTTGCACTCTCGCAAATATTTTCTGCCAGTTTTTGCAAGCTGTCGAATATCGGCAGGTTGCAAACCGTTTCAGTTGAATTCCGTCCGTCGAGCTGCGAGGTTCGAGCGCTGCGTTCCAGCACAGAGACGGATTGATAAAAAATGAGTGCATTACTTGCATTACTTCTTTGAGTTTTTTTAGTTTTCCATCGGATATAAATCGGCAAGCTGATAGTAATTATCAATTAACATTTAATTATATTTGGTTATTTTAGAAGCTGAGATATTATGTAATTAATTAAATGTTATATTATTTTTGTTAGCATGTGGGCAGATTTTAAAAATAGTTTTTTAGATATACAGGTTGTTTCAAATATGCGCATAAAAATATTTTTTGATTGGGTCAATTTACGCTGAATTTATCTTCAGAACGTTTCCTCAATGTCTCCGTTTAAGTGTTAATACAAAATCACTATTAAAAAATTAAAGACTTTACATTTATTAGCCAAATAAAGTAAGTGATTTTCTTTAAATTGCTATCCTGAAAAGTAGCAAAAATCGAGATACGCCTTTTCGTCATAAAGCCGACGATATGTTTCAAGGTTTATAAAGGGGCGTATCCTAAAATATTTTGTTAAATTATTCTATATACATTATTCTATTTCGCACTCATTTTACCGTTGAAAGAGGATTATTTCACCGGATAGCATAGCTGCTGTGTTGGAGCCTCATTTATTACGCACTCATTTCTGGGACACCCTGTATAGGGTATTTTTTATGGCGTCACCAAAATCGGAATACTTAAAATGGTATATCTCAAATTTTTTAAATGCCACATTCGGTATATTATTTTTCTGTCAGATGCAGAATTAAACAGTAAACATTTTTTTTTATTTAAAGGGTTTCTAAATTTTTAACGGTTTCGCAAATATTCGCAGTATTATATTGCATATGGCTCTTTAAACAGTAAATTTTTATCAAAGCCACCTAATATGATCTTTGTCTGATATTTTGGAAATCCCATATGTAATGAAATACAGAAAATATTTGCAAAACGGCTAAATATTTAAGAACACTTTAAATACAAAAAAATGTTTACCTTTTAATTCTACATCTGAAAGAAAAATAATATACAAGGTGTTGCATTTAAAAAAAATGAGATACAATATTTTAAATATTACGATTTTGGTTACGCCTTAAAAATATCCTGTATACGATAAAGTACATCTTTCTACACGAATTTATTCTGGTATCCTTCGTGTTTAAGAAAACATAGCTAAGTATTAATAAAGTTATATTCACTCTAGTTTTTTACCACCTTTCGTATATAATGTTTTTAACCAAAGTTTTAGTAAATAAGAAATAGAATGGCCACACCGCAGTGTGCTTTAAATAAAGACAGTGTACTATATGCAAAATTTTATGCCGAATCCAGTTATGTACAGAAAATTAAACTTGTTTTAAATCAAAAAAAAGTTGTAGAAATTCTCTGAAATAGATAATAATATAAAAATATATGTCATTATATATTTTTTCCGCATTTCTTCCAATCAGAAGATTTTCAGATACAGAAGAATTTTTACCTACGCGAAATGTGAAAATATTCTGTTTTCCAGCAAGTTTTTACTCGATGATCAATTTTTTTGTTTTATTTTATTGTGAACTCATATTTTCCTAAATACATATCTGTGAAACTATGGCGAGTACCACGACTATACTTTGCCTAGTTAATAGACGACGACTATACAGCTACGTCAGTGGTCACGGGAGGCGAGAACAGGGTCATATAAAATGGCAGAAAAAGAACAAAGGATTTGACAAGGAGTAAAACTACTAGTTTCCTTATACTATGTTATTAGCTTATAAAACAATCAACTTTTGATTTCTAACTTCTAACTACAATTTCTCTTGACGAATAATAATAAGAGGTCAAAATGACATTCAAAAGCAAATTTTGAAGTATAATTAGTGGAAAAGTTAAAAGTTTGTTAACTTTTTCCACTAATTGAAGATTATTACTACTTATTTTGATGTTATGAATGCTTACATTGATATTAGAGGAACAAACTATTACGCTAATTGAAACCACTAATTTATTCCACTAATTCTGAGGTACTGAATGAAGCTTGAGGGTTCAAATATAAAACTACCCTTATTATTCTTGTTAAATTTAAAGAAAAACTCAATCAACGACTTGAAAAAAAATGGATGGCGTTCAAAAAAATTAGTCTTATCATTTTACTTACAATTGGTTTGACTTTTAATTGCATTTTCTCTAAATCTCCTTGGTCAAAAAACTCGTCAGCCACTAATTTTGCCACTCTGTGTTGTACCTCCCACGGTTTGGCTATTGCACTAACATCACAGGCTGTCATCATCATACCTGACAATACTGTAACAAATAAGAAACAAGTTTTTTGTTTAATTATTCTCAAAAAATGATATTTTTCTTAAATATGTTTCATTATAATTAATATATCCAGAGTTATGAAAATAGTCATGTTATTCAAAATATTATATGTATTTTATATAATAAATGGGTTAACGTTATCCATATCTGAATGGATGGATATCTGAATAAAAAGGATTACGGATGAATTTCATAGATATATTTATTTTAACTTTTTTTTAATCTATACTAAAAAATAAACAGATATTTTAAAGCTATATTGTTAGATAATAATAAAATAAAATTGACAGAAACATGGTTAATATGCTTTGGTATAGTACTATTCTTTTAAAAGTTCCTCAATATGGCCGACCTAGTTACGAAAATTGGTAATTTTTTTTTAATGAAAAATAAGTTGGCGTTAGCGAATTCAGAAATTGATTTACTCTTTGGTTAACAGTAATATTTTTCAAGATTGTCAAGTTGACGTTAAAGTTAGGTTATTAGGTGGTTGTCATAAATAAAAAAATAGATTATTGAAATTATTTAATAAGAATAAAGGTATTTTACCGCAGATCCGAAGAGATTTTACTTAAAGGTATTTTATAAACTTTCCCAGTGAGAATATTAACTCCCCTGTTTCTTATATTTCAGTTAAAGGGACGTAAGAACTATAGGAAGTAAATTTTTGTTTTCATGTTTTGACGATATCTGAGAGTTCCTAGAATTATCAAGATTATTGAATAATTATAGTTGTTTAATAAGTGAAATTAATAGAAGACTTGGAAATAGGATGATGCTTTTCATGTTATAGTTGATAGATCACCCCATTTCTCTTTGTTTTTATTTCAGTACAGTTAATCACAAATTGAATTGATGTGTGCAAAACAGCTATATATTTTCAAACATCTTATTTAAATAGTTCTTTATACACTGTTAAACTGTATCAACTACAAAGTATTTAGCAAAAATTATAAGGTAATAAATTTTGTAGATATAATTTATGAAAATTTATAATATATAAAGATTAGAACACAATCCTTTGAAGGACAAAGAAATACTCAAAAACTCATTAAATATACTTTATTAAAAATAACAACATACAAAAACATTCATGCAAACTGTAATAATCAGAACATTATCCACATTATACCTTTATTAAATTTGTGTCCACACTCCTGTCAGGAAAGCCAGAAATGTTTGTTTAAATATTAACTTATTTTAATTTGCCAGAAACACATCAGAATATATCACAACCACAACTATAGGTTAATCAGTACTAAATTTTATACCTAGTAAGTGATGCGTTAACTAACAAGTATAGGATAAAAACAATTATTAATAGAGAGTGTACTATACAATGTCCTGCTTATTTATGAAATGACTTTCCCTTCAAATGTGAGGAATACCAGTAAAATAAAACATAATTTTTGGTTTGGTTTGGTGTTTGATATTCTAACAACATCTATTACAAACCTTAAGTGCTTTTAGTGAGTAACTGTATTTTTTATTATTCTTTGTGTATCCTGTAAAGTAAAAAATATATATTTCAAGAAATATAAAAACAATGCAATAGATATCAAACAGATTCATAAAAACTACTTAAAATTATTGTACATAATTATATATTTCAAGTGTTATTTGATGTTTGGTCCCATTACCAACATTACCTTATTTAGGTCTTCTCTACTAACTCAACTTTTAAACCTGTTTTAAACCTTCTTTATATTTTAAAACTGATTTACAACAATCTGTAATGCCCGCGCTGTTTCCTGAAATATACGTTTTAATCTATTTATTATCATATAGTACATATTACAAACCTGAAAATTACTGATACGACGAAACTTCTCAAAATAATTAGAGACCTTTTTACAAACATCTGGACTAATTTATTTTCACGAATTTGTGAACGAGTCAATATTTTCTAATACGTTTTTAAGCGTTTTACACATTTTGAATATCTTCCAGCCTATTCGTCAATTCTTGATCGGGAAAAGATTATTTATAACTATATAATTAGTACTGCAGGTTGCAGGTTAAATAAAAGAACAAAATCAAGTAGAATTTGTGAATAAAAACTCAAAAAAATAATGAAAATATTTAGAAAAAGGAACCGTAACGTCAATGTCAGCCAAGTGTCAGAGATCAATTGGATTTACCACAGATTATCAATTTGAACGATTTGAAGTACAGTCGATTCCAGTTTAGAGATTTTCGTTTTTTAAGCCTCCCATACTGAAGTCCGCCATATTGGGAAGTTTTAAATGAATACAAGTATAACTAATTTTACTTACAGTCTTTCCTGTCGTCGCTTTGCCAGTCAAACTCTCCATCGTCTATGAGTTCTAAAAATTTATTGCGTTTCTTGAAGTACATGGCTAAATCTGTCGATAAAATTGCTGTTTCTACTAATTTCATCACCCGTCTATAATCGTCAGTTGACAGAGCCTGAAAAGAAATACATAATGAATTAAAATATCCCGTATTCTACAATACCATCGAAAAAAAAACGGCGTCAGCGATGGCTTTGAAATGAAGATCGCTGTCATTTTATATGTAAAACTAGCGTGTGCCAGCGACTTCGTTCGCGTCGAATTGATCATTTGTAATGGTGATGATAAAGCAAAGCAAGAATTTCCATTAATATACAAACTGGATAAAATTTTCTTACATTTATGTCAGCATGAGAAAAAACAATATGGCGATATTATTATATAACTTGGTAATATTTGAGGGGCAGTTTCATCTAGTTGGAATTTGACTTTCAAAAAATCCGTTTGCCAAAAATAAGCTTTTTACGTCAAGCAGTTTAAGCAGAATCGTGGTTAAGAAATTATCCAACTTTTTGGAACACCCTGTATAATTTTTTAAAAAATTCAAAATATGTAAAAAAACCAAATAAATTATGCTTGTCTAAGCATTTTCCCGAAAGACTAACCGTTTTTTAAATAACAAATATTGTAATATTTGAGGGGCGTTTTCACCCTCTTGGAATTTGAGATTCGACCCCACAGTCAATCCGTTTACCAAAAATCAGCTTTAAACGTCAAGGAATTTAAGCAGAATCGTGATTACTCAATGGTCATATTTTATGAAACACCCTGTAAAAATTTATAAAAAATCTTAAAATATGTAAACAAGAAAATAAAATATACGTGTTTAAGAGTTTTTCCGAAAAACTCACCGGTTTTTAAATAAAAAATATTTTAATATTTGAGGGATCGTTTCGCTCCCTTAGAATTCGAGTTTAGAAAAATCCCTTCTTATCGAACCTCTACACCCTAAAGTCAATCTGTTTTCCAAAAATCAGCTTTTACGTCAAGCGCTTTAAGCAGGATCGTGATTAATCAATGACCCGATTTTTCGAAACACTCTGTATAAATTGTTAAAAAATCTTAAAATATGTGAAAAAACAAAATGAAATATACGTGTAATAGCGTTTTTTTGGAAACTTGACCGTTTTTTAAATATAAAATATTGTAATATTTGAGGGGTTTCACCCTCTTAGAACTGGAATTTCGAAAAAATCCTTCTTATCGAACCTCTACATCCTAGAATCAACCTGTATGCCAAAATTGAGCTTCTTGCGTTGAGTGGTTTGAGCAGGATCGTGATTAATCAGTATGTCAGTCACTTAAGGATTTTATATATTAGAATAGATTACCCACCAAAGTTAGATACACCATTTTTATGACACCATGTATAGGAGATTTCATCGATCCTCATTTCCATGCCAACTGGACGCCGTTTTATTTTCGAACATTCGGTATTTTTATGACAAAATTGTGATTGTTCTCTTTTAAAAAAAATAGTTATTAATTCTAATGATTTCTTTATATTTCCAAGAATTCTTTTAAGACTATGACGAATATTAATTCATGAAGAATTCACCATGAAGAATTAATTTTTTTTTCATAGCAGAAAAAAAAAACGGAGCCTTATATGCCAATTTGATGTAATTTTTCTATAAACCAAATTTATTATTAAATAAATATCTTTTCAATGTTATAAACCATGAGAAAAAAGTGATTTTATTCAAAAAAAGCTCTCTAATATTACAGTATTTTACTTATTTAGATGATTTTCTAAAATATGACTTAAAATATTAAATTATAAAGTCAAATAATTTTGTTTTTCTATTACCTATTTTATAAAAAAAACACTTCTCTAAGAACTAAATTATCATTGAAATCTCCGTTACATAAATAAAAATCATCCATTACATACGTCTTTTCTTAAACTACCATAAATTCTCCTTCACTTCTGGGTTATTAGTTGTCAAATCGTCCCAGCAAACTATTAAAAAGCATTAGGTCTGTTCGTTTTCCTGTTATTATCGATTCTGAATCGTCCTAGAACTCTCCAGCGCATGCGCAAATGAAATAATGTCTTAATATTTCCTTCTGCGCAGACGCATCACAATTCTAGGACGGTTCAGAATCGGTAATAACAGGAAAACAAAAAAAGCTATTAATTTTGCCAGTCGTGAACAATTTACCCAGGCAAGAGACGTGCGAAAAAATATTGCGATTTTTTCTCAATAATTTTGCGGAAATACTTGTCCCTAAGTGACTTTTTGTATAGTATATTATTCATAGAAGTCTGCTACATCTTTTAAACGCGGGTAAGTTCAGCAAAATCATCATTTATTTAAGTTATATTAGTAATTTTTTGATCGAATTTTTAACCTATACGGCGATGTATCAAAACGCTTGAGCGGCGTCAGAAGTCATGGCAATCGCCATAAATTTTCTTCGCGCGTACAACAAACCCTGTCGACAATATCGATGCGCTTGGAGATGGAATGCCGCCTACATAGACGTTTTGAGTGAAATAGCACGGATTTTATATGATTGGCGCGAAAAATTATCGATGGAAATATTATTTCCAATAAAATACACATTTTATTGGAAATTTACCTTAATTTATTTTAATGTTTAGTATTGTATGGGACTTATTATTTAGTTATATTGAAAACAGCAGTATAGTCTGTAAAACGAATAACTTTGAATTTGACAGTTCCCGCGGGCTTTTCTAGTGTTAATTTTATTAGGTTAGCAACTTGCGACCATGCCATAGACTTAAAATAAAATATAGACTGAGCATCTCATTCATAAATAGCTGGAACATGCGGTCAGACACTGTCTTGTTATTGTTGTGTTATTGTTTTAGATTATAACGAGTGCGACACGAGCGATAGATAGGTTGTCTCTGTCATAACGGTCGTTCCCTGACGACTCTGCCGAGAAACACAACACTGTCTTTCGTTTCTCAAGTACACCTGAACTCTCCGTATCATAGCCGGGTAATTTTTTTATTTTAATGATGCTATAATTAAATTAAAAATATATCGTATTTAAACTTTTTTATATTTTATTAAGATTTAGGACAGGTTTTTTAAATAAAAGTTTAGAAAAAACAATTTAGAGTCCAAAAAGGATAAAAATAATAAAATACACGTTATAGAAGAAATTTTATAATCGAAATTAGGTAATTTTTGAAATTAATGATAAATTATTAATTTTAGTCAAACATTTACAACCCCTAATATTAATCAAAACAGGATCTATTCCACAGATATAATAGAATCGGCGACAGGGAGAGAAAAAAAATATGATTGTTGTAATTTTTTATGGTTAAGTGATGTCTTATTATGTAAATTAGAGAAAACATAAATCTGTTCCATTAAAGCAAGGAAGGTGATAGGAAGTGGATAAAATAAAAACTACATTTATTTAACTCGGTACTGTCTTTATTATACCGGGTGCGTCTCAAAAGTGGCTCATCCCCATATTTTTATTATATTTTCAAATAAAAAAACAAGATTTAGTATGTTAGTATATGACATAAATTAGGATTGATTGACGCATTCAATTGTTTTTGATCACTTCCTGTTTGGAAATGACTATAATTTTAATTTTTAAACGGCACCCTCGGTATATTTCTACTTTATTCGATAGAAAATGACACTCTGAATAGAATGACATATCATATGACATTTTCGCATATGGTTTAATTGTAATTGTAACACGCGGTTCATAACGACAATTTGACTCGAAATACCAAGTGTGTGGTATCAATATATTCATAAAAAAATGCTTTTTCCAAATATGCTAATGAGTCACCCTTGTTCCATTTGAAAAAATTGACATATGTATGATTAAAAATACGATTTGTACATCTTTTAACCGGCCTAGACAAGACACGAAACCTATTAGACGATCAAAACTATTTTTCCAAGGCTCCTTGATTAAAACTTAGTGGATTGAAAAAAACTGGATTGAAATTTAAAATAGGATATGTTTTTAAGCGACAATGTCAAAAGTTGACATATGACATGTCATTCTATTCAGAGTGTCATTTTTTATCGAATAAAGTAGCAATATACCGAGGGTGCCTTTAAAAATCAAAAGATGTAATCATTTCGGTGTAACAGGAAGAGACCAAAAACAATTGAATACGTCAATAAATCCTAATTTATGTCATATACCTACTAACATACAAATTTGTTTTTTTTATCTGAAAAAATAAAAAAAGTCATAGGGTTGAGCCACTTTTGAGACGACCCGGTATATTAAAAAATATTGTTTCATAATGTAATATCATTTTAAAATTCTTGTATGTTATTTTAGATTCTGAAGATAATTTTAGAATAAACCGGAATATATTTTAATAAAAACATTATTAATTATTAACAGGGTTATAATTATGATTTTGTTACAATGTAAGTAAGTAAATAATGTAATGTAAAAGAAAAAATTCAGATTTTACATTTTACTAAAAATATTATCTAAATAAGCGCCTTTCTACAACAACGCCACTGACTGCCAATGGGTAAATTGAGAGTTGCCTACCGGTCAAAAAGTCGTTTCAAGACTTAAATGGATTATTTAAGTCAAATTTCCTGCAAATTTGGCACTGGCGAACCATATTTTATAGTTTTTGAACAGAAAAAGTCAATAAAATAAACACTTAAGGACTACAAGCTAAGAAAATGCGTTAATACAGCCGGGGAGATAGCGGCAACAAAGCTTTACCGCACACGTGCGACACGTACTGTAAGGTAATAAATGAATGAATAGGCTCCCTAATCTGTGTTGTCATATTGTAAAGATCTTATCCTTATTAAACAGTATCCCACTTATAATTTAGGAGTATAAGGACTATTTAATACATCTATGGAATATTAAAACCTACTTTATTAAACTGTAGTATTAATAACTCAATATATGTGTATAACAAGAAAAAAAATATTGATAATATTAAAGACGTGACAACATAGGCTGGATGAGGAAGGCTCGATCGACTGTACCCAGAAGTAAACATGTGTACAAAAAAGGTTGTTTGTCCGCGTTGAGATGTAAATAGTGTAGTCTATATTTTATTTTAAGTCTATGGACCATGCTGACGCAATGCCGTCTCTCCGAACAGTCTCCGAACAGTCTCGG